TCTCTTCTCCAATTTCACGTATAATGACTTTTCCCAATAACCTTCTTTTTCTTTTCCTTTTTATCCTTCTCTTTGTATTCCTTTTATTATTTTCCAAATAATAGTAATAAATTAGTTATTATTTAGTAGAGTTTTTTACTTCACACACCTCTAATTCAACCTTACACCCCCGGGTCTTCCTTTTAATTTCATAATTAATTCATCCATTTAATCCCAAATATTATTAATTAAGCCTTTAATTAATTTAATAATTAAATTCCTAATTATTTAACACTTGAATAAATTTGGGGTGTCACAAAAAATGGCCATGAAAGTGAGGAAAAATCATGTTTCTTAACACTTGAAAATTTTTTTGTGTTTGAAAAATTTCAAATCTTGACTTTTTGTTGACTTTTTCACATTTCTTGATTTTTTATGATCATGATGGATCATTTAAAATGTTTTTATGATTGAAAAAGTTTGATCTTGAAAAAGTTGACCAAAAGTCAAAGTTTGACCTTTTTGAGCAGATGAATTTTCATCAGATGATTCAGAATTTGTCTGATGAAGAAACATGGACTTTGTGATGTTTTGAATCAAGAAATTAGGTCTAGATGTTGCATTGAAGATGTTAAGATCAATCTTCAAGCAAATAGGTCATTCATTGAGCAGAAAGTCAATGATTTACTATCCTCGATCAAAACCCTAATTGGTCGATTCATGGTAGATCATGAGAAAAAGTTGGGAATTTGAAGATCAAATGTTGATGATTGATTAAGATAGATCAATTGAGGTGAGTGGAAACTCAAACCCTAATTGATCACATCTTGAACAGATGAAATTTTGAAGAAACCCTAATTTTGACTTCTAGAAGCCACGCACGATCTATTCTGTTCTGAAATTGTTAGTGATGCAGTAATGCATATGTAAGGTGGTATCTTAGGTCAAAAATTGGGGTATGACAGATGCCCCTATTTAAGTTTCTTTAACCTGAGATATGAAGATGAAGATCTTCGTCTCGATAGGTGTGAAGAGACTTAAATATCAGAATACGCAGATTTTGGACCTAAGATACCAAAAAATGCGAGTGATGCAAAATGATTACAGAAAGTTCACCCAGGAGATATCAAAGAATGATATGCTGGGGGAATGATTGTGAGGATGACTCAATCTGTCTTAGAAAGGAGAATCCTGTTTGTTGGGAAACAAGCATATGTTTCACTAGGAAAATAGATTCACAATGTAAGTGAATATCTGTTTCGCTTTGGGAAACGAGGAGATTACCTTCTGTCAGCCTTGTGACAATGTTTAAGGTAAGTGAAAATGATATTACCAATTATCAGCCTTGTGATAGTTTATGGTAATGAGTTCTGAAGATATTACCAATTATCAGCAAAGTGATAACTATAAAAAGGTAATTCTTGAGAAATTTACTGAGTATTCAGCCTTGTGAATAACAGACAATGATGGAAACAGATCTCAAATGAGTTTCTATTTTCACAGCTATAATCTTGCCAGGGATCTCTCTTTTGAGAAGATGCAGGCATTTTGATTGAAAAGACACATGTTTTTCTTTAGACAGAAAGACAACTGCAGAGATTTCTTGAACCTTCATGATTTGAACTTGCTAAGAAGAACAATCGTTTTATGAAAAGTTTCAAGATGAAAAGGAAATAAGCAGCTCAGATGACGAGGCTATTGCTTATTGTTTGCAGGTAGATTTTTTTGTGAAATCTAAACCTGAGTTGGTTAGAGACGAGGTTCTATCCAGGAATGAACTGGAAAGAAAAGGTCAATCAAGACTTCGTTCCCAATGAGGAATGATCTCAGCTGGGGAACATGATAGAGAAAAAATGTATTTTCTGCTTTGGGATAATCTACTGGAGAGATGACACACCCACACTTGTTTTTCGGGAATAAATGCAACCTAAACAAGTGATATAGAAGCAAATATTGAGAAATGCAAGAATGCATTAATGATGCTAATATGTATGAATGATGAATGTCATGAATGTCATATGCATGCTGACGATACATGACAAGACAACAAATCGTATTTGGGAAAAGGACTACGTCACAATTCAAACAAATACTCAGCAAAATCTGCATCAATGGTGTAGATGTTACTGATGATAAATCTGAGTTGCATGCTTTAAACTTTTCTGAAAAAGGCATTTCAATGGCAACTTTGTTGAGGATTCTTTTTCGGGTAAGAATACCGTCCTTTGATGATCCCTTTTAAGGAGAAGAAGACTTCTTTAGCAGTTGTTTTATCCCTTTAGAGGTCAAAACCCTCAATGGAGAAAACTGTTGAAGTTCTTTCTGTGTTCATAGTTCAAAGGAAAATTCCGCTTTTATTTCAAAATTTTGAAGTAAAAATTCATTTAAAACTTTTTTTTTAGTTTCAAAAGTGATTTTCACAAGAAAAAGCGTTATTTTGCAAAACAGAATAAAGCAAGAATTGCAAACAAATGGGCATAAGGCTCAAATTTTATTGATAGAATGGTAATCAGCCAAAGGCATGATTCCATGAGCTATTTACAATAGTTGGAAATGATAATTTATTGGGAAAAGGCTACATTGAAAGCAATAACCACTATTCTCCCTAACAACTTTGAATTCCAACGGTGCTAGTTGCTTTAAAAGATTTGATTGAAGATCTGTTGATGGAAGATTCTTCAGATTGACGAAGTACAGACTGATGCAGTTACTTTGTCATTTTTTATTCTTGATTTTTGCCTAGATTGCCTTTTCAGGTTTTCAATCTACCACGATAATTTCTGTTTATTGTCTCTAATTTTTGCCTGGACTGCCTTTTCAGGTTTTCAGTCCACCGAGACGCTCATTTTTGCCTAAGCCGCCCTTTTCGGGTTTGAAGCAACTAGTTTTTCAAAATCATTTATTTTTTAAAACAAAACAATAAAGTCGCCACCTAATTTTATTTGTTCTAAAAAGAACGGGAAAATATAGATAAAACCCAAGACATCGGATAAGGCGGTCTACATGACCAAAATATATGGATTCGGGAGTCGGTTATGCAAGAGGAAGATATTAGCACCCCTCACATCCATCATACTCAATGGGACCCATTTAGTTCGTTCGTGTTCGTGTGTTTAAAGTAAAAAAATGCTATCTTCTAATTAATGATCAAGAAATAAGAAAGAAGGAAACATGGTTTGTTTATTATTATTTTGAGTTTGACAAGATTTCGAAACCGTGTGCCTACGTATTCCCTCGTGCAATGGGAAAGTCAAAACTCCGTAGTTCTTGTTAAAAATGTTTGAATTGGTTGTGTTGATTTTAGAATAAATGTTTTTGATGATCGCATATGATCGAAAAGAATTGAATGGGTTGAGTTGATTTTAAATTGTGGATGACAAGTACCAAAACATTAGGCTATCATCTAACGATTCAAATACTTGAAATTGATGAGTGAGCTCGACCAATCATCTCTCATCCAAAATCTTTATTAAGAAAATGGTGAAGTGAAACGATGTTCACATTATTAAGTGTATGGAATAAAATAATTTAAATCATTAGGCTATCATCTAACGACCCAAATATTTAAAATTCAATTAAACCGTCGGGCTATCATCCAACAATTTAACCGAATGCCACCACGCTTACATTTTTTTTAGCATGGATAAAAGTTTTTAGTTTATTAGGCTACCATCTAACAACCTAAAAACTTCGAGTTCGCTTAAATCATTAGGCTATCATCTAATAATTTAAACAAACTCCATCCAAGTGTTTTTATGAAAATCATTTTTTGAAAAACAAATTCAATTAATTAATTTGATTTGAAAGTGTTTTAGGGGTTTGGTTGTGGATAGAATAATTCAATTAGGAAAACAAGCGAGCCCATACAAAGTGGCTTTATGTATGATCCTAAAAGTGAGACTAGCGTGACACTAGTATTCTAAACGACTGATTGGAACAATCGATCGGATAGTTGTCGTTGTAGAAAAGCCCAGGACCAAACTATGAATGTGTGCAGGTGTGCACTGTGTATGTTTACTTGTTCATTGATGAGGAGCCCAAGAGGAGGCTATGTGTTCCAATATGATAAACACATAATTAAACAGTAATCAAAGCACCCAAGGAAATAAATCCTAAGCTATTACAATCTATACGGGAGTGAAGGTACATGTTCATGAACAAGGATATATACAACCAAATCGAATTAGTTTGAATAATCAAATAAATTACAAAGCACAAGTAGTCTTCAGGATTGGATACAGCTTGCCTCGTCAGATGAATGTGAGATAAGGGTCCCTACATTACATGATATACAGACAAAACATATGAAGGGAATGTTGCAATGCTATGTATTTTATTAGATTGGTTAGACTAGATATATTTGCATTCAAATTCATTCTAAGGTTGAATTAAATTCCAAATTCGAAATCGTAACACAAAGATCATTACAATGTAATTGAATTTATTTACAAATGGATATGAATAAAATATATGAATAAAACTAGTATAATTGTATTTACAATACTAAATATGAAATAGAAATACTATATAATTATATTTACAATATATAGTATGAAATAAAAATACTATGTATAATTATATATACAATATCAAATGTAAGAAATAAAAAAATAATACTAAGTACTATATATATTTACCACAATAAATATACATTACTAAATAATACTAAATACTAAATAGAAGTAGTAATTTATCGTTTAGTTGCTAAAGTGGGAGTGTATGCATTACCTCATTCCGAGCAAATGTCAATATAATCTCTTTCAAGAAAAAAAAAATGGTTCATGATAACACCAACATTTTAACCCATATTACCTCATTCATGCATGAAGTAGAAGAAGAGCACATAGATAAAGACGTTTACACATCAAACAAAAGTAAGAAAAAGTTAATGAATCAGTCAAAATGAAATTCAAACAAAATCAATGTTTCAATAATTAAAAAAAAAAAATTAGCTACCAAGATTGATTAAGTGACATAGATCTTAAATATATTATTCATGGGTCATGGTGCCAAAGTTTTACTTATGTTGTGAATATATGGTGAGGACTCAAATAAACTCCTAAATAAATGATTAAAAAAAATAATCTCCTTGCAAATAAATCCAACAGTAAGCCGAGGGACCGGAAATAAACAAGGATATGAAGGTGTATACAGAAAAGTGGCCTCAAATTAAATAAACAAAATTCATATATTTCCAATTTCATTTTAACATAGTTCTCAAACACACAACCAACATATTCACATCAGTGTTTAAAGCATAAACTTAACCAATTCTAATGTATGGCATCTCAATGTATCATGACTTGTGCACATACATCACATCACATGCATTCAATACACCACCACTATTCCTATTAATAGTAATGCAAGCACAACACAACCATGTTAAACTCAGTATACTGATGCAGTCAACTTAACAGTTTCTAAAATGCGATTTTGAGATTTACCGATTTGGTCGAATACAAGCAGATGCGGAGCCGGCTGTTTGAACTGAAATGTTGAGAATTAAAGTGGTTGGTCTATCGGCGAGAGTTTGGCAAGGTTGAGAGGAAACGAGAACAGGGAGTATGAGTGATGAAGGGTGTTGTTACGGTCAGAGTTTCACGGCGGTGAGGAAGTTGAGATGAGAGTGAGTGGCTGGGACGGATGAGTGTGGTAAGGTGAGCGATGGAGGGATGCTGTTAAGGCGGAGAGATTACGGGTTTGAACGGAGGGAGGTACAGGATGGAGAGACGAGGGAATGGAGACGGAAGGGGTGTACGGCGGAAAGAGACAGTGGAGGAATGAAGGAGGAGCGGAAGGTGGTGTTTAGATGGAGTTGTTGTTTTGGAAGGAGGTAGCAGGCGAGAGGAAGAGATAAACAGGGTGTGATGGCGGTATGTTGAAGATGAAGTTGTTTGGCTCCGGTGAATAGGAAGTGAGGGAACAGTTGGTCTCAGGTTGAATGGAGGTATGTTGAGGTTGCACCGGCTGTAGGGCTGTTGGATGGAGGAAATAGAGGAAGGTGTTATGAAAAAAATAGTTTATTTTGGATCCAAAGAAAAAAACCCCTCCGCCTCCTTTCTGTTGTTGTTTTTTTGTGTTCTCCCCCTTTTTTTTCATTGTTGCAAATTATAACACATATATATACCCAATAAATTAGGTTTAGCAATTTTAAAAAAATGCCAAAAATACCCTTTTGACAAAATGGACTACAAAGCCCAAAAGATTAAAAAATAATCTACCCAACAACATTTTTATTTTGATTTTTGGAGATAAAAGTTGAACACCTAAAATTGTCAAAAATGATATAAATTCAAACAATGAATTATCCGAAAAATAAAATGAGCATATTAAAATAAACTACGGGTTTCATAGATTAAAGAAAAATTATCGAAATAATTAAAATTGAAATAAAAAAATAATAAAGAATACCTGATTTTAAAACACTTACGGTTAAAAACGAGGTTTCGAAATGTATAAAAAAATTAGAGAGAACACATTTTTATGATCTACGCGACACGTAGATTCATAAAGCAGTGAGTTAGAGGCAAAAACTTGAAATATTTTTCCCGCTAATTTTCGTACAGTGTCGAATCGTCTTTAACGGACTGTTTATAAAATCGAAGTATCAATATTATCGACACATAATCAACTTAAAACGATACAATAAACATGTAAGGAGATAAAAATGAATGAAGTGAAATATCGGGTATTTTATAACTCTAAAACGATTCAGATATCGATTTAAGTTAACCTTTGGTCAATTTAAATACGACGAAATGATGCATGTGCAATGAATGAATGACTGTTTAATGCCAATGACCTAATGGAAGCATATGCAGGTGAATGTGAAGCCTAAGCCAGATAAAATCGAGATAGGTGGGCAAATTTTGGGGTGCAACAGGGTTTTCGACTTACTGAGCTGTTCTTTTTTTTATACAAAGTATTTCTTGACTACATCAGCATTCACAGGATGCGGGAGTTCATCACCGTCCATGGTTGTGAGAGTCATAGCACCGCCAGAAAAGCTTCTTTTGACGATGTATGGGCCTTCGTAATTAGGAGTCCATTTGCCCCTAGAATCTGGTTGAAAAGACAAAATCTTTTTAAGCACGAGGTTGCCTTCTTGGAATTCAAGAGGTCGATCCTTTTTGTCGAAGGCTTTCTTCATCCTTCTTTGATATAATTGTCCATGACACAGAGCGATCAGGCGCTTTTCTTCAATTAAGTCCAACTGATCATATCTGCTTTGACACCATTCGACCTCAGATAACTTAGCTTCCATGAGAACTCTCATTGACGGAATCTCAACTTCTACGGGGAGCACTGCTTTCATGCCATATACTAGAGAAAAAGGAGTTGCCCCTATTAAAGTACGCACTGAAGTACGGTATCTATGCAGAGCAAATGACAGCATTTCGTGCCAGTCTTTGTAGGTGATGACCATCTTCTGGATGATCTTTTTGATGTTCTTGTTGGCAGCTTCAACGGCGCCATTCATCTTTGGTCAGTAAGGAGATGAGTTATGATGCTCGATCTTAAATTCCTCACACAGTTCTTTCATCATTTTGTTGTTCAAGTTTGATCCATTGTCTGTAATGATCTTACTTGGAACTCCATATCGGCAAATGAGGTTGTTCTTGATGAACCTCACAACCACTTGTCTTGTAACGTTGGCGTAAGATGCACGAGTATTGTATCTGCGAGTTGACTGTGAACGTAGTTGAGAAACTCTAAGACGCGATAGCTTGACGATATTTCTCTCTCTCTTTGGAAAAATTCCAAAAGATAAGATTCTAAATAACAAACTCGATATGCAAAGTATGATGCATGATTATGAATGCAAAGAGAAAAGAATTTCCAAAGAATTTATACTAAAAGAGAAATTTATAGTAAATATTTGGATGGAAAGCACTTATTTTATTAATTATTGAAAGAAGATTACAACAATTTTTTTGGAGCATAGCTCTTACAATGATAAAATAAATGATAAAGCTAAAGCTAAACTAATTAATCGTCTTCGTCTGATGAAGAACCAAATGCTTGATGCAGCTTCAACTTCATGATTTCTTTCCCATAGTAAGCTTTCAGTTCAGCTTTCTCGGCTTTAAGCTTGTTGATGACTTTCTTCCACTCGTCAGGAGCAGGATTGCTGGTCGTCATTTCTTCAAGCTTTCTTTTTCTTTCTTTGATGTATATTTTGATCGCGTTATCTTTCCGACGAATCTTCTCATCTTTCTCCATGAGCCATTCATCTTGGAAGTAGAGCGCTTTCTCATGATCTTTGACCTGCTTCTTAAGCTTCTCATTTTCGAAGTCAATCTTAAAGAACTTGTCTTCCAAAGCCTCTTTTTCTAGCCTCATCTTGGCCAAAGCTTCTTGGTATTCTCCCATAGTTTCAACGAGAAAGGTAGTTGATTTAGATACTGCTGAGAACATGGGTTATTCATAAGCATAAGGCATTCGGAATTCCTTCGCTCTTTTCTTCACCCAAGAAGTGTAGATTTCCATGGCTACACAATTCCTTGCATTACCCTTTTCTTTCCTTCGGATGTGATGCCAAGCTCTTATCATTCTGGCTTTCAAACCTTGGGAATCTTCCCCCTCATGATAAAAGTAGCTTTCTACTGTAAAACCAAGAGGTTTACTAGAGTTTGCATACCCGAGTTGACGTCTTGCCAAGAATGGGTTGTAGTTAATCCCTCCTTTCGTACCAATGAGAGGTACGTTGGCAAACTCTCCACAGCTTTCAATGATTTCCATCTCATTGTTTTCCAAGGTATACCAATGGATATCGTCGTTTGTAAGAGACATAAGTCTTTGAGACCAATGCCAACCGTTTTTGTTTTCGCGGAAGATAGGAGATTTAGGCAAGTGTGAGACAATCCATTTGAATAACAGAGGTACACAACACACAATAGCTCCATCTCCTTGACGATTCCTATGATGAATGGAGAAATACGTGTCACCAAGCAAAGTGGGAACGGGATTTCCAATCAGAAAGATCCTTATGGCGTTGATATCAACGAAATTTAGGATGTTGGGAAACAACACCAATCCATAGATGAGTAAAGCTAAAACAACTTCAAAGGCTACCATGCTACCGGCTTCTGAGAATTTAAGAGCCTTCTCCATTAGGAACTTTGAAGTTAGTCCTAAGATTTTTCCTTTGGTAGTTAGGTTTTTATCTATCTCAGATTTCCTTAAGTGAGTCATTGTTGCAATGATTGGTGACTTAGGAATGACTTCCAAACCATTGAAAGGCACCTTATCTGATATTGAGATACCTAGGATGTGTGCGTACTCTTCCAAAGTAGGCATCATCTGATAATCAGGGAAAGTGAAACAACGATAAACTGGATCATAAAACTGAACGAAAGTTTTGAGAAGTCCTTCATCAATGTTAGTGTTCAGGATAGTTAAAAGAGTTCCATAGCGTTTTCTGAAATCCGAGGGATCTTCTACCAAGGATGCTAACTCTTTTAACTTTCCTACATCAGGAATTCTAAAACAGTATTTCTTGGTAAATCTTCCTCTGACGTCCATCACTCTAACCTAAAATATTTACAAAGAAAAATCTCTAAATTCTTTGGAAATGGGAAGAGAAATAAAGTTTTTTTTTGTGAATGAATGCATGAATGCCACAAAGATTCAAACATGGTTAGTGGTTATACACACGGTCAAGCGTTTGAAGTCACGAGCATGAGGCCAACGATAAGAACCAAACGTGGGTAAGTTCTATGGGCTTATTCATCTGTGAAACGGGTTCTACTGATAATACAGGTTCAACGCTTCTCTTTGAAATATTATCGGATTTGTTGAATACTCGAAGTCCAATAATATTTTTCAAGAAAAACTCGCCTGATCGTAGTCTCGCATGACAACTATTCTAAGCTTACGCCTGAATAGCTTCTGCACTACATCCTAAATGGCCAGGATGGGTTATGTGTTCTACAGCCACTCAGCTTCGTAAGTTCTCTCGAAAGCAAAATGTCTTCGCAAATACTTGCTAAACACAAATACTCCCAAGACAACCTCCACTGAGAGAGGGATTTCAAATTAACTCAGTAAGTAATGAAACTTCCCACAAGTTAACAGGACTATACCCCCACCTAGATCTTAAAATGTTTCTTAAATTCGGGTTAGGATTTCTTTCTATCAGATGAAATCGCGAAACACACAATAAAGAAAAACAAACATATGCACATATGAAAGCTTAACCCCTTTTTTCTTTTTGAAAACAAAAAAGCTTGGTGCTATTGAGCAGAGTCACAATTTTTTTTGAAAATAAAAGTTTAGCGTACTCCCCAGCAGAGTCGCCATTTTTTCTATTCGCGTTAAAAAGTGACGCGCGAGGGAATCGAATCTTAATTCGAATCTCTGGCTCGAAACGATTTACTCTTTTGATTTGTTTATAAAGATGACGCGAGCATCAAGCTTTATTTTTTCCAACACAAGAAAAATGATTATGAAAAAGGGGAAAGCTGCAATACCCTCAATTGATATGATATGCATTACGACTAGCGCGAACTAGACGCAACGCATTGGGGAGATTCCGGGCAAGGGGGTTTGTTATATAAAGGGAATAGATGTGGCACCCTAAATATATATAGTTATCTATAGCTTTATATATGAATATGTTTGATATGTTTGATATGTTTGTGTGTTTTAAAATTGCTATTTCTATTGTTGGGAAAGTTTCTCCTTTGGATTTTAAGAAGGGTAGATTATGTGGGATCCTAGGTTTTGTTATTATTGTGCTCACAAAGATCATTGGGATCTTCTGCATACATATCCCTTAATGGGAATCAGAGCATTTGTAGCTCGGATCTAAAGGGAGCTATGGTTTTGTTTGGTTTGAGGGAGAAAGAAATTTTGCTCGCCAAGGATGAGACCTTGTGCCTACGTATTCTCAAAGGGATGTTGAGAAAGTCAGAGCAATCGTAGTTCCCACTTATTCTAGTGGAAACAAAGGGATGTTATTAAGAGACAAAGACAAATGTCATCTTAATGAAAAATGTATCTAATCTATTTCATCACATACATTTTGAAAGGTTTGATTGATTTAATCTTTCATCGTAAGTTATAAGTGTTTTGCTTGAGTGTACAAGCGTTAC